AGTGTGGATGGGACTTGGCTGCTTCTTGAAAACCAGGTCACACCTAGAAGCCAGTGAAAGAAGGTTACAGGGCTATAGGGTGAAAAGAAGCCCCAGAGACCTCCCAACAGCCAAGCATAATGGCTCAACTCACGCCAGTCATCCCAGCTCTTAGGGTATAGGGGCAGGAGAATCAGAACTTAAAATAGCCATAACCAGCTAGGAAGAACCTCTGCCCTCAGACCTCCATGCCCATGAGCTTCCCTGGGGCTGTCCTTTCAAAAAAAAAAAAAAGTTTTTTTAAAGATAAAACAATGGCACAGGCTGGGCAGGAACTGAAAAAGCCACTCAAGGGGTACTGTTAGCAGCCTGACCATGAGCACACACAGTTTTAGACTATGATGAGCAAAGACAACTGGTCCGGGCTGACAAACCCAAAGCCGTGGCTTTTCCAGCGAACCAACCCAATCTATTTCTGTGCCATAGGCTTCAAGGCTGGGACCAGGGAGAAGGCAAATGGTCTGTACTGGGTTCTCCCTTTCACCTAGTACAGACCAACCAGCACACTCAGGGGCCCAAAAGCTGGTCTCCCCACACACAAAGCTCAATGACAGACTCCCTAGCCTCTTATTCCAAAAGTCCTGCTGCCCAAGTTATTCAGGATCATTCCCATGTGGTACAAGCTACAACCACAGCAGTAAACCCACAGGAGTCCAAATGTCCCCATCTGACCCCACAGGTAACAAAGAGCACTAAGCTGCCACTATCCCATCTAGGTCCTGGGAGCCAGGGTGGCAAGCCTGGCTCCCCTGGGAGTTCTGGAGAAAAAGGCTAGAAGGGAGAAGCACATTAGAGTTGTCCCAGCCAAACCAACACTCATGTCATGGAGGGCGATGGTGCTCCAGAGGGGAAGTAGCTGTAACCATGTGTCATGTGTAGCACGTTTTTTGTCTTGAGAGCTTCCTCTCTGAGGGCTGAAAATGCAGCTCAGCAAGAGTGTGTTTGCCTAGCACACACCAGCCACTGAATTACATCCCTGGTTGGGGTGTGGAGACATGAATTTCCTCTTTGGATATTTCAAAAGTCTCCACATTGAACCTCTCACATTGATGAGTGTCTCACAGAGAAGTGACTTTCAGGGGTCTCTGGGATAGCTAGAGCCTCGGCACAGGAAGTGAAGTCCCATAGCAACTCCAACCCTACCCTCATGAAAGCAGACATCTTTATTACAACAAGGCTCACAGATGGCATCTTACCCATCTACATAGGCAATCTACCACTGTGATCCTTGCAAAGATGTGGCGAAATAGCTAAGGAACCAGCCTTGTGCCAGCGCACCTTCCTCCAGGGCATGGGCAATGCCAAGCAAGGCTGCCAGGGAGAGCTGCAGAGCCATTAGGTGACCTAAGCCTGGCTTTAGGGCCATGGATGCCTCCCAGGTGCAGCTCAAGTTCTTGAGCCTCCCAAGGGCTGCAGAGGCGGCTGGGAAGTCTGATACTCCTCCTGTCACCAGCCATGGTCATGAGGCTTTCCCAGATTTACAAGTTCTTGAGCAGTTCTAAGGCAGAGGACTCCTTCCAGGTGTGGACTGCCAGGTGGTATTGCTAACATGACCATCACTACTGTTCACTGACCCACCCCACATACATGCATGCATGTACAGATGTACACACACTCACAGTGCCTAGGAACTGCATTAGGTCTTCCTCTGCGTTCTGATTTCATCACTCACATCAACCCTGGGAAGGTATAAGTTACCCCCTTTTTAAAGACTAGTAAACTGAGACACTCAAGGTAAACCTGCCTTGTCATGAAGTAGCATTTTGAGAAAGGGATCTGCTCCATGCAATTCTCAGCCTCCTCTTAACCACAAGCCTGCCCTTCCCAAGTCAGATTCCCTAGGTGACAGGGGCTCACCACCTGCTCCCTCCACTCCTGCCTCCTGGAGTTAACGTGAATACAGTACTTTTCCACCAGTATCCAAACCTGAGGATGTTCCCCCTGATCTTCTCTGCTTCAGTGGCTCAGGCCAGGGTGGTCCAGGAAATGCTTCAGAGGTGGCCATTAGAGCATGAGGGATGTGGAACAGAAATGGCAGCCCTGGTTCTCTGTCAGTGACCAAGCATACTGTGAGGTCCAGTGACTAGAGGACCAGAGCGGGCTAACTGCGTGGACTTTCCTCTGCCCACCCTAAGTGTCCCACTTCCTGCCCTCTCCAACTCTATAAATAAGCCAGGTCAGAGCATCAGCAGCAAGGCTGCCAGGAAGGTGTGAAACAATGCTTGTGGAAAAGATGACTTCTGAAAGTAAATTAAGGCTCCCATTCAGATCAAGGGATAACATGTCGGATTCTCCCGGGAGCACTGTTCTTGGCTGAAAACAGGCCCACCTGGACTTGCAGGCTAGACCAGCTCCACCAAGAAAAATTCAAGGCCAAGAGGGAAGCAAGGGCATGAACTGAAAAGGAAAAAAAAAAAAATCAAAGAAGTGTCTCCCTGAAAACTAGTTTTTTGTTATTGTTTTTTCCCTTGTTAGTCTACCCTCCCCCTAATACATATCCCACAAATAATGTACCAGCCTGGTTGGAACAGCTGAATGTTGAAGGGGTGACAGGAAGAGGTAATGGAAAAAAGTATGAGATCAGGAGAGAGCATTCCATCCCACACCCAGCACCCTGGTCTGCCTGGACCGGGAAGAAGGGAAAGGACACAAAAGGTGGAGGAAAATGAACAAAACAAGGACCAAGTTAAACCTCATGACTCCACACCCAGCAACCAAACAGCAAGGGAAGGAGAGAAGCCACGGGAGGGGAGATGAAGTCAGTTCCCAGCCCTGCCTGGAATGTACCCGGGTCTCTCCCAGCCCAGCCACAGTAGGCCAGCCAGGAAAGCCCTTCCTTATTCTTGTTTTTTGGGAGAAAAAAAATCATTCAGGTCAGACCCTTCTCTATTAAAATCCAGCTTTCCCCCTCTTGTCTCCACCACGCTCAAGGCTCATTCCTCTCCAGCAAACCTTCCTTGATTTACTCAAAAGCTGCAAACCTTTTCCAGCACCTCTCCTATGTAGGACACCATTCTGCACCCATTCTCTGGGACCCCACCCAGGAGGCTTAGAAATTAACTGCTCCAGAGAGCCACAGCAGGTGGTCAGCCCTGGGAACTGACTTCCAGATGGTCCCTGGCCCAAACAGGAAAAAGTGCTCAAAGTCTTAGGTCTTTGTTTGGTTGGTTTGGTTTGGTTTTCAAGACAGGGTTTGTCTGTGTAATCCTGACTGGCCTGAAACTCACCATGTAGCCCAGGCTAGCCTCAAACTCAGAAATCTACACTACACATCTCTATCTCCCAAGTGCTAGCATTAAAGGTGTGTACCACCTTTAATGTACCACCTTGGGGAAAGCCAAACCCTGACAAAATAAATAATTAAAACCTCCTATCCTTACACTAAGGTTTTGTTGTCCCAGGCCTTTGAACCCAGCATTGGGGAGACAAAGACAGGAGGATCTGGCCTGGTCTACATAGCAAAGGCAGCCTGATCTACATAGCAAGTTCCACAACAGCCAGAGCTACCTAGATCGACCCTGTCTCAAAACAATAAGAAACCCCACTATACTTTCTAGAGAAAATAATCTGGAGAACTGTCGAACATTATTATAACCACGCCACTGTCTCACTGACCTAAGCGTTTCTTTCCTTTACTCTAAGGAGGTTGCCCAGTTCTCTCAAGTCCTGGTACCCTGGGCACAGAGTCAAGGAGTATGTCTAGATGGTGAAGGGCATCCTTGAACATTAAAGAGGCTCGTGTCCTGTGTAACCCCTGGGTTTGCTAGGGTGTCTCCCTTCAATCTTGCCCTGGAAGATGACACCTCACCTTGCTGCCTCTACAAGGTGAGACAGCCTCTCCAACTCCCCTACAGGCTGGGCGCCTCTTTGAAAGGAAAGCAGGCCCGAAGCTCTGAAATTTCCCTTCTTGAATTCCCACAGCCTCAGAATCCCACTCCGAACTTTAGTTGGCCGTGTACTCCTAACGCTTGGTCACTGCGCCAACTCCATCAGGCCTCCCAGGCCCACCAGGCTATTTGGAAGAAAGTCGGGGGGGGACCCTCAAAATGAGAAATAACAACTAGTGTGTCGGTTTGTGTCCTTGAGCGCGAGGTCGGGATCCCGACGCCCCACCAGTCTCGCCAGGCTAGGCCTTCCAACCGTTCTGTGCCCCTCCCAGAGCCCCAGGACTCACTGCGTGTGCTGGGCGCGGCCTGCGCGGAAGACCTCGTCTAGAGCCACGGTGGCCCGGCCCAGAAACTTGTCCACACCGATGAGTGAGCGGTGCATGGTGGTGAGCACCAGCTCGCAGGCGGCGTTGGGGCCCGAGGCCCAGGGCGCAGGGCCCGCATCTGCCTCCTGCGCCCGCAGCAGGCCATCCAGGGCGCCGGGCGGCAGCTCGAACGAACACTCTTCGCACCACTCCGGGCAGCCTTGCGTCTTCTCCACCACCGAGGTGCTGTACTTCTCTCGGCCCACCTGAATTACCGTGTACGCGTCGCTGGTGCTGCCGGCGCCTGAGCTCTTGCCCCTCAACCCACTGGCCCGCAGCACGGTCACCTGGACGTGCGTGGGCAGCCAGCGGGAGGACCCGGCCGCCGGTTCAGTGTCCCGCACCAGGGCCATGGCGGACCCCGGGATGGAGCGACAAACGTGGCAGCTGTGGGAAGCTGTCCGGAGCCGGCTCCCCGCGCTGTCCGAAGCACACCGATCGCCGCAGCAGCGGGCTGGCCTGGGCCGAGCGGGCCACCGCCTCCCCGCCGCCCCGCCTCCCGGGCGGCCGGCCGCCCCGCGACGTCACGCCCCGCCCAGGCCCAGTCTAGGCCACGCCCTCCTATTCCACCAGCCTAGGAGTTGAAGGAACCCAGGGAGGGGCGCGGCCTCCGCAAAGATGTGGGCGGAGCTTCTGCTGACCCAGCCCCTCTGGCGGACCCTCAAGCAAGTGCTGCAGTACTAAAAGGTGACCCGTGCGGAAGGGGCGAGGCCTCGGCATGTATTGGGGGAGGGGGTTGGAAGTCGGCCACGCCTTATTCACGACAGCATTCGCGTGTGCACGCTGCAGAGCTCCAAGAGAAGAAACCGAGGGGGCTGCTGGCGAAGGCTGCTAGCAGCCTCTGCAGAGAGGTAGGCGTGGTTACCACCGTAGCCCCGCCCCGTTTTGGCAGCGACCCCAAACCGGTGAGCCGGATCTTCGCACTAGTTCCCGCTGCACTCTTCCTAGACAGTACCAGGTTTTCCCGCAAGGTCCTCTATTCCCGAAAGCTCTCGCCGCGTCGAAGATCCACTCCGCTCAGCGTGGGTTTGAGGGTGCCTACTCCGGAGACCCCTATATCGCACATGCGCTCCTAGTCATCCTTCTCCACGTGACCGCCGGCACGGCAGCCTTCGCTGACACTGCGGCTGAGGATGTGTAGTGACAGCCGCCAAGGAGCTGAGAGGTCACTGGAGTGGGGCTCCGAACAAGCAACCACTCTTTCAATGTTTTGATTTTTACGCCCCTTGTTTTGAGACAGGGTTTCTTATGTAGTCCTGGCTGTCCTGGAACTCGCTGTGTAAATTAGGGCTCGAACTCGCTAAGATTCTCCTGTCTCCACCGAGTTCTGGGATTAAAGATTGGCTCCACCACCACGACAGGAGATTTTTTTTTTTTAATCTTTTTGAGCCACCACGCTGTTTTGATATTGATTGATTGATTGTGAGCTCAGGAGCTTACTTACAGGTTAGCCTTGAGTGTCCTTTAACTCACACTGAGCTGGCTTTAAAACTTTTGTGTGGCCGGGTGTGGTGGTGGTGCACACTTTAATCCCAGCCCTTGCACTTGGGAGGCAGAGGCAGGAGGATCCTTTTGAGGTTGAGGCCAGCCTAGTCTACATAGTGAGTTCCAGGCCAGCCAAGGCTGCCAAAAAATAAATAAATAAAACCCACAAACTTTTATGTTAGGCTTATATTGCCCACAGAGCCTTGTTTGTAGTAGACAAGCATTCCACCACAGAGCTGATCTTGTAATCTTCAACCTCAGAATCCATTCACGAATGCCTACCGTGTGCTGTGTTCTGAGTATTACCGGCACCCTTGGTTCATTATTAAGATAATGGTTAATAATTATGGATGCCGAATTTCAGCAGGAGTCGGGGAACACTGACTCATGAGCTGTATGTGCATAACCTCACTTCATCTTCAGAGCCACTGTGAATGTGAATTTTGGTTACCAAGAAGACAGAATTATAGGTTAGAAAAATTTGCCTAAAATGCATATAACAAAGAAGTCATGGTAGCATGTAATCTTAGGACTCTGGAGTCAAATTCAAGGCTAGCCTGGGCTTCATGGTGAGGATTTAATTTTTGCTGTTAACTTTCAGAATCTACACCTAAATTTTCAAATTTTTTTCTTTTTTTTTTCCTTTCTATTTCTGGGGGTAGAGGATTTCAAGACAGAGTCTCCAGAAAGTGGTAGCACACGCCTTTAATCTCAGCACTTGGGAAGCAGAGGCGGCAGGTAAATCTTTTGAGTTCAAGGCCAGCCTGGTCTAAAGACCGAGTTCCTGGACAGCCAGGACTATATACTGGTGTGGATTGAAACATGTTTCTGTTTTGGTCGTAGGTGTGGGATGGTGGATTGAGTCAGGTGGTCCACAGCAGCAGACTATTTGCTTGGTGCAGCCTCTGAGAGGAGCTCTTTGCCAGTTGCAGAGAGTTTAAATCTGAGAACTGTGGAGAAAGAATAAATGCCAAAGGCGGGAGAGTGTGGAGGTCAGTGAGAGAACAAGACTGCTCCTGCTTCTCCCTTGCTGTTCCTGGTTGCTGTTGTGAGACAAGAAGTTGGAGATCTCCTGAAATGAGGATTGGACTGGCTCCAAGGAACAGGATGACCCTAACCAGCAGGAAGCAGCTAAGAGAACTGTTCCCCCTCTCCCACTAACCCTTTCTCTACTCTACCTGGTGTTAGGGTGTTGGAAGGGATTGGGGTGGAGAAGGGAGAAAAGGCAAATAAAACCGTTTTTTTGTTTTGTTTTGTTTTGTTTTTTAACTAATGCCTACAATACACAGAAACTCTGTCTTTAAAAAAAAAGAAATATAAATCTTTTTGACGTTTGGTGGCACACGCCTTTAGTCCCAGCCCTCAGGGATGCAGAGGCAGGCGGATCTGTGATTTTGGGGGCCAGCCTGGTCTACAAAGAGAGTCCAGGACAGCCAAGGTTACACAGAGAAACTCTGTCTTGAAAAAGAAAAAAAAGAAGCAAGAAAAGCTGTCCTAGCAGGAGCAGTCATGTAACCAGGAGAAAAACACTTAAGAAGTGAAAGAAACAGGAAGAAGGTGTCGGGATTAAAGGTGTGCACCGCAAGTGCCTGGCTTAGAGCATTTTCTAGTAATCTGTACATAACAGATTCAGGACATAAAGAAACAAAATAGGAAGGGACAGGATGGGTCCATTGCCATCAAACCTAACAACTTGAACTTGAGCCTCAGGATCCACATTATAGAAAGAGAGACCCAACTCCAGCAAGTTGTTCTCAAAGCTGCACACCCTCTCCTACCAGGAATAATAAAATTTAAAAAAACACCAGAAGAGATTTCAAAAGCTCTCCCCTCCTAGATCTCTCTTACTTTGCTTTATTCTCTCTCTCTTTCTCTGCACGCACTCATACATGTAGCAGTCAGAGAACAATCCATGGGATTCAGTCCTCACAGGATTGATTCAGGTCATTAGGCTCTGTGGCAAGCACCTGCTTCACCTGCTGAGCCATCCTTACTCACTGATCATACTTACTTTTAAATTTTTGAGACAGTGTCTTACCCATGTAACACTGGCTGGCCTCAAACTCACAGGAATCAGCCTGCCTCTTCCTCCCAAGGGCTGATACTGAAGGTGTTCTCCACCATGCCGGGCCCTTTATGGAGTTATTTTTATTCTGAGGCAGGGTCTTCTGTAGCACAGGCTGGCCTTGAAATCATCACAGACTAGTCTTGAACTCTGGATCCTCCTGCCTTTCCCTCCAGAGTTCCGGGGTTCCTGGTCAGCACCACCATGCCCATCTTCCATCCAGACACCCTTGTCTTTTGCTTAAGTTATGCCAGCACCTCCAGTTGTATGCTGGAGATCGACCCCAGGGCTTCACTCTCTGCAACTCTCTGAGGGTATTCTCCACACATCTCTGAGGGTATTCCTCCTAAAGCTGGTTGTGTTTCCAGACCTTGAGGTTGACACCACCCAGCTGTATGAATTGCTTCTGTGGCTGTGTCTAAATCTGGCACTGGCCATTATCTCTTGCCTTCCTGCTAAGACAGACACAGTCTTTATCTCTCCCACACTCACTCTCCACTCTCAGTCTCCTTAGTTCTGCCATTGTTGTCCTTTACTAAGAGGTACACAGGGCTAGCCTATATTTCTACAAAAGGGGGTTGGCACTCCAGGAAAAGGAGACTCTTAGGAGCACTCTAATAAAGCCCATGTGATCAGCCTCCACAGTACGGGTGTGTCTGTCTGTCTGTCCTCCTGTGTCAATCCTCACACCACATTTTACATAGGGTCACTTTGTTGCTTTCTCCTAGACTGAGTACACCAAGCTTGCTGGCCCTTGAGCCTCCCAAATTCTCCTTTCTGCACCTTTCATCTCAGTGAGAGTACTGGAAGTACAAATGTGTGCTTTGAGCCACACCAAGCTTTATGTGGGTTGTAAGATTCGAACTCAGGGTCATCTCCACTGTTGGCACTGAGGTAGAAAGCTTCATGTCACGCATTCCATGTCTGGATTCCAACTCCAGCACCATATAAACTGAGTGTGGGGAACACTCCTTTATTCCCAGGACTTGGGAGGATCAGAAGTCCACCGTCATCTTTGGCTACAGAGTGAATTTGCTAAACTACATGAGACCTTGTCTCAAAAAAAAAAAAAAAAAAAAAAGTTATTTGGAAATTAGAGAAAATAAAAAGTACCATCCAGAAAACAATACTGCCAGTGATTTGCTGTCCTTCTAGTCTTTACACTATATCTGCACACAATTTGAGGGTCTTAGAGAGTAAGGGTCAAACCTGTGGAGTCATTTACATCCTGTGTTACCTCACCTGAGTGAGGTAGGTGCTCTTGCTGCCCTCAGTTCACCGATGAGGAAACCCAACCAGAAACAGCTTAGGCCATTTCCCTGAAGTCATCAACTGAAAAATTACAAACTGAAGTTAAATAACAGCATTAGTAATTTTTTCACACTGGTTCGCTGGCCATCTAAATGCTGCAAAGTTTTGTAGGTTTTAGTTGTTTTGTTTTAATTTTTGAAACAAGATTCAGTAACTAAAGGTGCCTTAGTCACTGTTCTATTGCTGCAAAGCAACACCATGACCAAGGAAACTCTAATAAAGCATTTAAGAGGGGCTTGCTTACAGTTCCAGAGGTCATCCATTATCAGCCTGCAGGTGGACATGCTGGCTAGCTATGAAAAGGGTTGCAGACTTGCCCAAAGTTTCAGACTCAGAAGTCTCCATTCCACTCCCTCAACTAAACCCAGGGCTTCCCACACTGACCAGCAGTCTTATACACAGACACACACACACACACACACACACACACACACTTTGGTAAGTTGAAGTTCCCACTTAACGGTAGATTCCCAAGGTCTTTCTAAATGAAAGCTTCTTTATTAACCTTCAACCATTATGAGTTTGCCACGCTCCATTAAGAGTTTCATGTTGACTGACTCTCCAGCTGAGTTGCCCCCACCTCCTGCCCTCCCCTCTCTCCCTCTGAAACAGTAGGAAGACTCCAGGAAAAGGCAAAGAGAACCAAGTTGTACTAGCCCTGCTCCCTGCCCTCCTTCCTCCTGCCCTGGCCTAAGCAGTTGGCAAGTTCAGGCTTCCTGCTGGCTCAGGACTGCAGCTGTAAGAGGGCAAGGAAGCCTGGCAGTGCTCACCTAAGGAGACCCTGGGCCCTAAGAAAACAGTCTGCAAACTTGCTCTCTGGGGTCTGGCCAGAGTTGATCTTCAGTTTCCAAGAGAAGCATGCTATCTCTTCCTCTAGAAGTCAAGACCATCCACCACACCCATGGCAGACACAGAGAAATCACTGATTCAAGGACCAGTGAAGGGAAAACAGGAGGAGCTTGGATCACTTTGTAATAGTGAAAAGTAAGGATGTCCTCAGGGACAGGAGGCCTGGGGATGCCAGAAAAACAAAGGAACCAACCAGGAAGGGCTATAGGTGCCCTGAGCCAGGGAAATGGAGCCAGAAGTACATCTCAATAGAACTGGCTAACTATTTAAAAAAAAAAAAAAAGTCTATGTCTCTGTAAAGATAGCAGGAAATGCTTGACTGAATAAGTAAGGGCAAACTGTGGCATCCAAGTGCTCTCTACACTGCTACATTTCACTCAGGGTGGTGATTGCTTTCTTTGTTTGTTTATTGGATTTTTTTCAAACACTTTTACTTTGTTGCCCAGACTGGCCTGGAACTTAACCCTGCTGCCTCTGCCTTCCGAGTGCGGGAATGACAAGTATAATGTATGCCACCATACCCAATAGGATTTAGGGGTTTCTTCCTTTCTTCTTCCTTCCTTTTTCTTTCTTTCTTGCGTTCTTTCTTTTGTTGTTTCTTTGAGAATTTTTTTTTTTTGGCGGGGGGGGGGGGTTGTTTGTTTGTTGGTTTTGAGACAGAGATTCTCTGTGTAGCCCTGGCTATCCTAGAACTCTCTCAATAGACCAGGCTAGCCTCAAACTCAAGAGATCCACCAGCCTCTGCTTCCAGAGTGCTAGGATTAAAGGTGTGCTCTATGCTCCACCACTGCCTGGCAATTTGCTTAGGGTGATTCAAAATTATTTCACAATTAGGGAAAAAAAAAAAAACTTCCTAAAAAATATTATTCAGATCTGGCGATCTGGCAGTCTCTGCAGCTGTGCTCTGGGCAAGGATGTGGGTGTTCCCTGGTAGGAGCAGTCACCCACAGGGAATGGGAAGGGGGCCAGAAATCACAGTCCTTGTGGTAAGGGGGCCTAGGATGGAAGAGCAGTAGCACAGCTGCTAGTATGACTGAGGAATCCCCCTCTAGGGGAGCACACTGGTGGGATTCATTGGTGAGGATGGGAATGCAAACAGTGGGTAAGATTATACAAAGCTCTTGGTCTTTTAGGATGAGGACAGGGCAGAGAGAAACACCAACCTCCAAAGCCTCAGCTAAGACCAGGGCTGCAGGAAATCTGAGACGGAGGACAGCCTTGAAATAGATATCATTTCTCAAGGTACAAGAAAAGTCCTGAGGGGAAGAGTCCAGCCTTTAAATGACAAACCCTTTTCCCCCTTCCTCCTCCGCCTGTATTGTGTAGCTCAGTAAGGCCTCAAACTGTGTAGCCATAGGCGACCTCAAACTTTTCCTGCTTCCGCCTCCCAACTACTGGGATTACAGGCATGCACCATCACAGCTGACTTTAGGACAACTCCTGAGGATGTGGGGGAGGGCAGCTGTCTCACCTTGTAACCATTACTGGCCTGGACCTCACTGGCTCTCTGTGAGACCAGGCTGGCCTCCACAGAACTTTGTGGCCCTTCTACCTCCACCCGTGGAATACTAGGATTTCAGGCATGAGCTCGAAAGCCCAGTTCTAACACAGACTTTAAGGTATCTTTACTGTGTGTTGTACCTCGGAGAGGGCCAGAGAGATTCCTTTTTGTCTCCAGACTCCATCTTGGACGGGGATGACCTTATCCCGAAGATACCCGTAGCTCCTGGAAAGGTCCAGGGTAAACCTAAGCCAATCAGCTACAAGTGCCACCATATATGGCTGAAAGGCCCAGAGAGTGTGGCTTGAGATAACTGGCCACCTGGCCCCAACCAGATCGATCAACTTCTGCCTCATGTAACGGCTCCTTAGCACCCACCCCCATCAGAAGAGAGATTAGCTCATCATTCCTGAAAAATCCCCAGGTCCCTTTAAAAGGCCTGCATGCCTTTGTCTCAAGGTCGCCATTTTCTACAATGGTTGACTTGTGCATGCTAGAACACGCCA